AAAACTTCACCTCCCATTTTATCTCCAAAATTATGACAACTCCACCGGTTACTATTGATAACACCACTATTGATAACACCACCGAGTCATTTACCTCTCAGACAATTAATGCTACATCCCAACTGCTTGGCAATATCACTAGTACAAGGGCCACCAAGTTACCATAGAACTAAAATGAGGGACCCAGACCCAAGGATGGAAGTTCCAAAAATTCCTGAAGGTTCAAGACTAGGGGTCTCCAAATTTTCAATATGAGGGTCACACAAATATTCGCGGGCCAGAAAGAAGCCCATTAGAGTCCCCTCCACCTTACATCAGTGTCCCCATCACAGCCCTCCCTCACATCAGAATCAGAGGCCATATGCAGCCTTTGCTGACCTTTATCCTCAATCAGTACACATTGAGAATACACCACTGACTCTAGCTGTGGGCTGGATAAAATCTTGTAGAGGGCCGGGATGTGGCCTGTAGGCCATAGTTTGGAGACCCTTATTTTAGGCGATGGCTTGTTTTTTATGAAATTCAGAATTCAGTCATCATAGCACTCAAGCTAAGAAACTACAACATTCCTTGTCTCACTCAACTGTCCAAAATGATCAAATTCACTAACGCATCATTGAACGCCCTAAACACACTCACCATGTCACACCCATGATATTCACAGTACCCGTGCTAGGGCCCATTCACATGGGGAGCTTTACTGCGGGTCCAGTGCAGGTCCATTGTTTCCCGACACTGTGGTGTGCAGGTGCATCCAGGTATTGGCATTCCATTCATTCTTATTGGGACACATGGCTGCCAGATGCAGTGTGTTAATATGACATGTTGGTAAGTGCAAATGCAGGTCAGACATCCACTGCAGTGGTTAGCACTTCTGCCTGGCAGCACTAGGGTTGTTGGTTCAAATCCCTACCATGGTACTGCCTGTCTGGTTTTGCATCATCTCCCTGTGCCTGCGTGGGTTCTCTCCATATGCTCTGGTTTCCTCCCACACTCCAAAGACATGCTGGTAGGTTAATTGGCTCCTATCTAAAATTGGCCCATGTATGTGTAAGAATGTGTTAGGGACCTTAGATTGTACGCTCCTTACATAATTACATAGTTAGTCTGGCTTAAAAAAAGACAAAAGTCCATCCAGTTCAACCATAAAAAAAAAATGTTATAATCCTACACCCACAGGTGATTCAGAGGAAGGCAAAAAAGACAGCAAAGCATGATCCAATCTGCTTCTGCAGGGCAAACATTCCTTCCTGGTCCCCCGAGAGGCAATCGGATATTCCCTGGATCAACTTTCCCTATAAATGTTATATCCAGTTATATTCTGTGTATCCAAGAAAGGATCCAGGACTTTCCTACAGCAATCCACTGAACTGGCCACAACCAACTCTGGAGGGAGTCTATTCCACATTCTCACAGCTCTCACTGTGAAGAAGCCTTTCCGTGTTTGGAGATTACATTTCTTTTCCTCCAGACGTAAAAGAGCGCCCCTTGTCCTCTGTGATGACCTCAGGGGGAATAACTACACCGAGTTCATTATATGAACCACTGATGTATTTATACATGGAGATCATATCCCCCCTTATGTATTATACATGGAGATCATATCCCCCCTTATGTATTATACATGGAAATCATATCCCCCCTTATGTATTAATACATGGAGATCATATCCCCCCTTATGTATTATACATGGAGATCATATCCCCCTTATGTATTATACATGGAGATCATATCCCCCCTTATGTATTATACACGGAGATCATATCCCCCCTTATGTATTATACACGGAGATCATATCCCCCCTTATGTATTATACACGGATATCATATCCCCCTTATGTATTATACATGGAGATCATATCCCCCCCCTATGTATTATATACATGGAGATCATATCCCCCCCTTATGTATTTATACATGGAGATCATATCCCCCTTATGTATTATACATGGAGATCATATCCCCCTTATGTATTATACATGGAAATCATATCCCCCCTTATGTATTATACATGGAGATCATATCCCCCCTTATGTATTATACATGGAGATCATATCCCCCCTTATGTATTATACATGGAGATCATATCACCCCCCTTATGTATTATACATGGAGATCATATCCCCCCTTATGTATTATACATGGAGATCATATCCCCCCTTATGTATTATACATGGAGATCATATCCCCCCCTTATGTATTATACATGGTGATCATATCCCCCCTTATGTATTATACATGGAGATCATATCCCCCCTTATGTATTATACATGGAGATCATATCCCCCCTTATGTATTATACATGGAGATCATATCCCCCCTTATGTATTATACATGGAGATCATATCCCCCCTTAATGTATTATACATGGAGATCATATCCCCCTTATGTATTATACATGGAGATCATATCCCCCCTTATGTATTATACATGGAGATCATATCCCCCCTTATGTATTATACATGGAGATCATATCCCCCTTATGTATTATACATGGAGATCATATCCCCCTTATGTATTATACATGGAGATCATATCCCCCCCCCCTTATGTATTACACATGGAGATCATACCCCCCCTTTATGTATTATACATGGAGATCATATCCCCTTATGTATTATACATGGCGATTATACCCCCCTTAATCTCCTCTTCTCAGTAGAGAATACATTCAGTTCCTCTAATCTCTCCTCATAGCTGAGCTCCTCCATGTCTCATCAGTTTGAAGGTTAGGGAATAAGTGCCGGTTTGAACCGCATCCAATCCACATGACATGAAATAACATTGCTTCCTATGGTGTTTGTTCACATATGTCCGATGCACTGCTGGTATGGATTCAGTGCGGTTTGAAAAAATATTTCTGAGTGGTACTTTCCAGTTTAAGCACGGGTTACAGGCTATTGACTTCTAGGGGAACTATTTCTAAACTGCATATGTGTGAACAGGATACGATCCTGACCTGAACCTGACGTAAACCTGACATGAACCGCTGAACAACTTCTGTATCAATTATCTGTGAAACCTGAGCTTCAGTCCGCAGTGCACATGTGTGAATCAGCTCTGATGTCAATGTACAATATAGATGTAAAGTGCTGCATAAATTGATGGTGCCTCTATAAGTACCTGAAATAAAAAAAAAAAAAAAAAATATTAGGATATAGAGGCTGTATTCATGTCCCAACAGAAATAAGTGGGACAATCAGCATGGGGAAGCCTCTGCCACACCTGCACATCCCTGTGCTGGGGACAACATGGACCTGCACAGGACCCCATTATTATTATTATCATACAGGATTTGTATAGCCCCCAGTTTACCAGCACTTTACAATATAAAGGGGACCGTAAACTGCAATACAGTCCAATACCAGAAGGAATAGGAGTCCCGGGCTCATGGAGCTTACAATCTAAAGGAAGGGGGGGGAGGTGATACAAAAGGCAATAGCTGCAGGGGATGATCTGGTGGAGGTGATTCAGTGCAGTTCTTAGGTGGAGGTGGGGGTAGGCTTCCCTAAATAAGTGAGTTTCAAAGTTCGGCTAGAGGCAGACAAAAGTGGAAGCAGACTTGGACATACTGGGGAAGGGAGTTCCAGAGGATCGGAAGAGGTTCTGGAGAAGTCTGAAGGCCAGCGTGGGAGGAGGTGACAAGGGGAGCTAGAGAGCAAAGCTTTCCCATGTGAAATGAGTCCCTTCTACAGTACAGTAAAGGATGAAAGTGCCACTATATAGCGAGTTCAATGAATGTTTTATTGACCAACACTAGGATAACAAGCCAACCGCATTTTGGGGGCCACCTCTGGTGCCCTCATCCTTTACAACTGCTCTTTTTTTCTCCAGACCGGGACCCTCAGGTGAATATCCTGGTTGACAGACGACTGCCTTTTTTTTGCCCATCCTTGGGTCCGGTGCTTCCATCATATTAGGTCTGATGAAATGGAACCCCTCAGTTAATCCCCATTCAAAGAAAACTGTTCAGATCATCGAAAAATAATTCACAAGATTGGAAATCCGTTCTGAGATTACCCACTACAGGTTTATTCCTTCTATAGAGTTTTTAACTGAGCAGAAGGTTCCTGTCTTTGTTGAATGTGTCAGAACACCCAGATTTTAATGTAACATTTGCATGTAACATGTTTGCTGTTTTGCTGTTCTCCATGTTTTATGTGATGATATTACACGTTGGTGGTCTGTAGTTTTCTGATTCTAGTGGCCCTTTATCATCATTTGCCTTCCTTGCCAAGCAGTTGTAGATAGACACCCCAAAAGTTATATCAACGCCAGGACAACCATTGGTGGCCATGAAGCTGCCTATGATAATGGTGGCATCCGTGTACATAATAAATCACAAACTATACACACAGACAATGACTTCAACATTTAGATGCTTCTACCCAATGGAAGCTGGCCATGGATTCAGAGGATAATTGATGGAATTAGGGCTGAATTCAAGTCTATGTGCTGCACACTCCTGGTCTAGGTTTCCACAGGCTGGAGGCCCTGTCCCCTGTCAACAGTTAGCTTTCATATTCACATGTAACCTTTTTATTTGTTTTTATGTCTTTTACAAGTTATCAATGAAGCTGCACACTTTTCAGAAATATTTTTACATTTTCCAATTTGTGGGAAAAACATATAATCATTTTCATGCATATACAGAATATAAATATGTAACGGCAGTTTTGTGTATCCATTTATCACATACAGCCATTAAATGAAATGTGATTGAAAGCTGTCAGAGATTGTGAGTGTTCTTGTGTACTGCAAAGGGAATTGTTTTGCCTTTCATATAAGTAACATCTGAACCAATGATCGTTTCAGCTGTATGTAAGAGGGATCTCTCCTCACCGACCAACATTGTATGGATGGTTCAGCTACTCATGTGAGGAGCATTCTTCCCACTGACCACCAATGTAAGAGACATTCTTCCCACTGACCACCAATGTAAGAGACATTCTTCCCACTGACCACCAATGTAAGAGACATTCTTCCAACTAACCATCAGTGTAAGGGACATTCTTCCCACTGACCACCAATGTAAGGGACATTCTTCCCACTGACCACCAATGTAAGGGACATTCTTCCTACTGACCACCAATGTAAGGGACATTCTTCCCACTGACCACCAATGTAAGGGACATTCTTCCCACTGACCACCAATGTAAGGGACATTCTTCCTACTGACCACCAATGTAAGGGACATTCTTCCCACTGACCACCAATGTAAGGGACATTCTTCCCACTGACCACCACTGTAAGGAGCATTCTTCCCACTGACCACCAATGTAAGGGACATTCTTCCACTGACCACCAATGTAAGGAACATTCTTCCCACTGACCACCAATGTAAGGGAAATTCTTCCCACTGACCACCAATGTAAGGCATTCTTCTCACTGACCACCAATGTAAGGGACATTCTTCCCACTGACAACCAATGTAAGGAACATTCTTCCCACTGACCACCAATGTAAGAGACATTCTTCCCACTGATCACCAATGTAAGGGACATTCTTCCCACTGACCCCCAATGTAAGGGACATTCTTCCCACTGACCACCAATGCAAGGGACATTCTTCCCACTGACCACCAATGCAAGGGACATTCTTCCCACTGACCCCCAATGTAAGGGACATTCTTCCCACTGACCCCAATGTAAGGGACATTCTTCCCACTGATCACCAATGTAAGGGACATTCTTCCCACTGACCCCAATGTAAGGGACATTCTTCCCAATGACCCCCCCAATGTAAGGGGCATTCTTCCCACTGATCACCATGTAAAGGGACATTCTTCCCACTGACCACCAATGTAAGAGACATTCTTCCCACTGACCCCCAATGTAAGGGACATTCTTCCCACTGACCACCAATGTAAGGGACATTCTTCCCCACTGACCCCCAATGTAAGGGACATTCTTCCCACTGATCACCAATGTAAGGGACATTCTTCCCACTGACCACCAATGTAAGGGACATTCTTCCCACTGACCCCCAATGTAAGGGACATTCTTCCCACTGACCACCAATGTAAGAGACATTCATTCCCAACTAACCATCAGTGTAAGAAGCATTCTTCCCACTGACCACCAATGTAAGCAGACATTGTCATTCCTAGGACACCACCTCCATGGATGGTACAGACCGGCAGTCTGTGTATCCTGGTCCGCCCACTGCAACAAGCAGGGATGGAAATACATTCCAGCTTGCTGGAGAACAGAACTACAGATGGGACGTACCAAGACTGGTGTCTGTGGGAATAGGCGGCATAGCAGTGATCGGTCTTACTAGAAGGAAACCAATGGGAATTAAGGGTTTGATTTAAAAATACCCAGGCTATTTCAGAACAACTACTCAGATAACAAGAATATGGATTACATATTCAGGGAAGGCAGGAGATAAGCAACAAGAACATCTAAAAAAGTTTTTACCTTTAAATGTTAATAATCTTTAGTCTGTTTTACCAAACAACCTGAGATTTTTATAATATGTTGGCATAGATAGAGTCTTCTATTGTATATATTTTGAGGAAATTGGATAACATCCAAGCTCTCTTTTGTACTTTAAGCCACAATTAGTTCCCCTAAAAATAAGTACAGCACCCCCCTGACCCCCAGAGGCATAGCGTGGACACTCAAAGGCAGGGAAGGCTGACATTTTGTTTTCGTGCAGATCCTAGACCAGTGAAGAGATGTGCGATCAAAGAAGGTTGGGCACCACTCAGTTTAAGTACATCTTTGAATTCTTTATTGGGGAACTCCATAACTGGGAGAGAGGACATAGGGTTCAGAACATTCATGTCAAAACTATATTAGAAAAGAACTCCAGACTCACCAGACCCTTTCAGTATTTCACAGTGCAGAATCCATAGGAGCACAAGCGGCACTGGTTATTAAAGGAACAGCTAAATATGGATAGTCATGTGATCTTCAATATGTCAGACTTGCCCCTTAGGTACATTCTAGTACCAGGTACCTCCAGTAGCCATCCAGTTCTCTCATTCTCCTCCTCAATCAGCATGTGAGGCCCCTTCTAGCTTGAGGCCTAGTCAAACCTTTCCCGCACTTTAGCATTACCTCCCAGGCCAAGCCTGGAGGTAGACTGTACTAAGATTGAGCACATAGCAATTCTCATTGAATAATACAGTGGATATAAAGAGTCGACCTACCACTATTAAAAAAGTCAGGTTTCTGTGATGTAAGAAAATGAGACAAAGAAAAATAATTTCAGAAAAATTTCCACCTTTAATGTGACCTATAAACTGTAACATCTCAGTTGAAAAACATACTGAAATATTTTCGGTGGAGGGAAAGTAAAAAAAAAAAAAACTAAAATAAAATGGTTGCATAAGTGTGCACACCCTTAAACTAATACTTTGTTGAAGCACTTTTCATGTTATTACAGCACTCAGTCGTTTTGGGGAGGAGTCTATCAGCATGACACATCTTGACTTGGCAATATATTTGCCCACTCTTCCTTGCAAAAACTCTTCAAATCTGTCAGATTGTGAATTCATCTCCTGTGCACAGCCCTCTTCAGATCACCCCCACAGATTTTCAATCAGATTCAGGTCTGGGCTCTGGCTGGGCCATTCTAAAACTTTAATCCTCTTCTGGTGAAGCCATTCCTTTGTGGATTTGGATGTATGCTTGGGTCGTTGTCATGCTGAAAGATGAAGTTCCTTTTTCATGTTCAGCTTTCTAGCAGAAGCCAGAAGGTTTTGTGCTGATATTGATGGTATTTGGAACTTGGAAGAATGCACTTCCAAGCATGCACCACAAGCCAGGAATTCCCCAGTGATTGGCTGGTGAGCTACAAACACACACTCATAATATTCCCTCATTGGCTTTCCCATGCTACGGCCACCACACAATGTGGTAGGGGCTACACAAGCTTAATGTCACTCACTTGCTTTGTGGGAGATCAAAACCCATGAAACGTCTAGGACATGTTTGGGAAGTTGAGAACTTGGGCTGTGCAAAAGTGTCAAGTCAATTGATTGAGGTTTAGGCACATTATGGTACGTTAAGCTCTTTTTACATTAAGCTGTTCACATTCAATGTTTTAACACTGTAAAATATAGCTTAATGTGAATAACTTGTAGAATGATTTACCAAATGACCCAAAATGTTCCAAATATGTTGCCATAGATAGAGTCTTCTATTGTATGAAGTTTGGGGGAAATTGGTCAACATCTAAGCTCAATTTTGTACGTTAAGCCACATTAAGCCCCCCAAAAAAACAAGCTTAATGTCCCCCATTTTCTTTGTGGATGTCTAAAATCTATGAAACTTCTAGGACATGTTTGGGATGTTGAGAACCTGGGCTGTGCAAAGTTTCAAGTCAATTGATTGAGGTTTAGGCACATTATGGTACGTTAAGCTCTTTTTACATTAAGCTGTTCACATTCAATGTTTTAGCACTGAAAAATATAGCTTAATGTGAATAACTTTTGGAGTGATTTACCAAATGACCTGAAATTTTCAGAATATATTGCCATAGATAGAGTCTTCTAATGTGTGAAGTTTGGGGGAGATTGGTCAACATCTAAGCTCTTTTTTGTACATTAAGCTCCCCAAAAAAACAAGCTTAATGTCCCCCATTTTCTTTGTGGAAGGCTGAAATCTATGAAACTTCTAGACAGGTTTGGGATGTTTAGAACCGGTGCTGTGCAAAGTTTTAAGTCAATTGACTGAGATTTAGGCAGTTTATTACACGTTAAGCTACATTAAGCCATTTTCACATTAAATGTTTTAGTCTGTCCCCATTTTTTTCCCTACTCATATTTTCTGACTGTTTTCACTCCTTTGCATTTGGCTCGGGTCAGTGTCACTACTGGTAGCATGAGGCCATACCTGGAACCTACAGAGGTTGCAGAGGCAGTCCAACTCCTCCAGGATGGCACACCAATACCTGCCATTGCCAGAAGGTTTGCTGTCTCTCCCAGCACAGAATCAAGAGTATGGAGGACATTCCAGGAGACAGGCAGTTCCTCTAGGAGAGCTGGATAGGTCCGTAGAAGGTCCTTAACCCATCAGCAGGACCGGTATCTGCTCCTTTGTGCAAGGAGGAACAGGATGAGCCCTGCCAGAGCCCTACAAAATGACCTCCAGCAGGCCACTGGTGTGAATGTCTCTGACCAAACAATCAGAAACAGACTTCATGAGGGTGGCCTGAGGGCCCGATGTCCTCTAGTGGTCCCTGTGCTCACTGCCCGGCACCATAGAGCTGGATTCGCATTTTTCCATTGACACACCAGAGGTTTCCCCGGG